ATTTTATGTTCAGCTCTGGCATCTGATCACTTCTTCTATTTCCTTTAGCATATGTATGCTGCAAAGCAAGTTTCAGAGTGTCTTCTGACATCCATTTTGGTCTTTTCTTTCTCTCTTGTCTTCTTGATGATTTTTACTTTCTTCCTGTATGATGTTCTTGATGCCATCCCACAACTCTTGTGGTTTTTTAGTCATTAGTATCTGATTCATCAAATCTGTTCTTAAGATGATCTCTAATTTCAGATGGTATCTGTACAAGGTCATATTTTGGCTCTCATGGACTTGTTTTAATTTTCTTCAGCTTCAGCCTGAGTTTGCATATGAGCAACTGATGGTGTGTTCCAGTCTACCCCTGACCTTGTTTTGACTGATGACATGAAGCTTTTCTACGTCTCTTTCAACAGGTGTAGTTAATTTGATTTGTGTGTATTCCAGCTAGTAAGGTCCATGTGTATAGTCATTTTTTATTTTGTTTAAAAAAGCTATTTGCAATGAAGACATCATTGGCCTTTCAAAATTCTATCATGCCCTCTCCAGCATCGTTTCTATCACCAAGATCATATATTCCAACCACTGATTCTTCTTCTTTGTTTCCAACCTTTGTATTCCAATCACCAGTAATTATCAATACATCTTGATTGTATGTTCAATTAATTTCTGAGTGAAGAAGTTGTTGTTGTTGGTGTGCCATGGAGTCGGTTCTGACTCATAGTGACCCTGACATGGTTTCTGAGGCTGTAAATGTTTAGGGAAGCAGAAAACTTCATCTTTCTCCCACGGAACGGCTGATAGTTGTGAATTGTTGACCTTGAGGTTAACAGACCGACTTGTAACCACTCTGCTACCAGACCTCCTTGAAGAAGTTGGTAAAATTCTTCAATTTCATCATCACTGGCTTTAGTGGTTGGTGTGTGAATAGTGGTGGTATTAACTTGTCTTCCTTGCAGATGTATGGATACTATCCTATAACTGACAGAATTAAATTTCAAGACAGATCTTGATATGTTGTTTTAGATGATGAATATGATACCATTCCTTTTCAATTTGTCATTCCTGGCATAGTAAACTATATGGCTGTCAAATTCAAAATTGCCAATGCCAGTCCATTTCAGCTCACTAATAATACTTACGATTTTGATGTTTATGCATTCCATTTCATTGTTGACACCTTCCAATTTTCCTAGATTCATACTTCATATATGTTCATGTTCTGATTAATAATGGATGTTACATGGGTTTCTCTTCATTCTGAGTGTTTTGTTACCCATTAGTAAAAGAAGGTCTTGAAAGCTTTACTCTATTCTTGGCCTCACAGTCAACAGGGACATTTCAGTTGTCTGGATCCAAAAGTGTTTCAGATGAATTGCAGTCTGATTGTGAACTTCTTTTGGGTTTATTTTTACTGATTTATTTTGCTTCTATTTTACTTTTTATGAAAGCATCAGTGAAATGTAGGATAAATAGAAATGTCTTACTAAATCTAAAGGAGATATTTCTATAATTTTAAAATAAGAATAATATATGCTAAGCAAGCATTGTGGCATAGCTTAACTAGAAGCATTTATCTCTCCCCTGCCCTTTGTACTGTAGATGATATACAGTGTCCAGGTCAGGCAGCTGATGCCATCTCAGATTTAATGAAACAAGATAGATATTGTATTGTCTATTACATCCAAGAAGGTACTGCCTATAGTTGGTTTTGTTCACTGTACTCTGTTCATCTAGAGCATACCTAATGTATACAACCTGACAAACAAGAATTCCAGTTAGACCTTGACCTCACTGGAGTAGCAATCTAACCATCAACAAAGGCTGTGGAATGGTGCTTATAACTTTCTGGAATGCTTCCTGATTAGGATGGCTCATACAAAATGTTGGACCATGAATCATCTTGTAGTGGTATATGAATGTCCACTCTGGAATATTGTTACTGTAAACATCAGCTTTGGTGAGATGATTCACATATGTAGGTACCTGAAAGCTAGAAGTCATCTTTAAAAGATGTGCACCTGTGATGGAAAGGAAAAACGTTACACAGCTGAAGATGCACATATTGCACGGCCTGACACAGTGCCCACACCTACTGAACTGCACATTGCATCTACAAGAATGGACTTTTGAAGGTGCTTGGGGAGGTGTTATGGTGGTTCTACAGTGCCTACAGTGTCCAGGAGGTGGCAGTAGGAAAAATGAAATATACCAGGGTTGAGTCTCCTTGGAAGTTTGTTGGGCTGAGTATCTTTTCCAGATTTAGGGTGTGTGTGTGTATGCTGGAGCAGGGGCGGTGTGGAAAGGATGGCAAAATTCCAGATGGGCTTCATAATGGTCACCTGGCCCTATCTCTAGTTCCCCAGCTCTGTGATGAACACAATTCAAGAATCCTTAATAATCCATAATCTCCATTTCACTCACCCCACTTTCCAACCATTATCTCAGTCCTTCAGAAATACAACTTCAACAATCCTTTAGTCCTCACTGAGACCTTCAAACCATTGATCCTATTATTTTTTCACTGTCATTCAACAAATGTTGTTTATGTCCTATCTTCTTTCCTTATCCTAGCTAAAATCCACAGCCAGTCACCAGCATTTCTTTCTTGAATACACACTCAACTCCTGCAGGTTCTCTCTAGTTTCTTTTAGTTTTTCATCTGTTGTTATGGATTGAATTGTCCCTACCCCCCCACCCCCCACAACAACAACAAAAAAAGACATGGGAGTCCTAGCCCCTATATCTGTAAATATGGCCTATTTAAAAATATAAGCTTGATTTTATTATATAAATGAGATCTTAAGGAGCTCTGGTAGCGTAATGGTTACAAATTGGTCTGCGAACCGCAAGGTCAGCAGTTCGAAACTACCAGCTGTTCTGCGGGAGAAAGATGAGGCGTTCTGTTCCTGTAAAGATTTACAGCCTCGGAAACCCTGTACAGGGTCGCTATGAGTTGGAACCAACTCCACGGCACATAACCAGCACCACCACCACAGCAGAAGAAGGATGATCCTCAACAAGATGGATTGACACAGTGACTGTAATACTGGGCTCAAGAACAGCAATTATTGTGAGGATGATGCAGGACCAAACAGTATGTCATTCTGTTTACATGAGTTGCTGTGAGTCTGAACCGAGTCAATGGTACCTAACAACAACCACCAAAACAGAGTAGCTTCTAAGCTAATTACTTCTGAGTGATGTCTTATAAAAAGACCAGGTTAGATACAGACACACACACATGCACCAGGGAGACTTGCAGACAGATGCCATATGAGTATCCTCTACATCAAAGGAACATCAAGGATTACCGACAGATGCCAAAAACTATGAGAAAGGCCCATGAGAAGCACCAACATGATGGATATCCTGATTTAGACATTTAGCCTTCAAAAGTATGAGAATATAAATGTATCCTCTTTAGAGCCACCCATTTGTGGTGTTTCATTGTTGTCACATCAGCCTAGGTAAACTTTGTTACAAAATTTTAACCTTGATGAAACCCAACTCTCTACTGCCTCTGACTCTGCTATTGCCTGAAGACTTCCAGCTAAAGAGACTTCAGCAGACATGCTGACTAATTTCCCTTTAAATTAATGGCCATTAGACCTCAAGTGGGTCCTTAAAACAGCCCAGTTACCATATTCCATTACCATTACCATCTTCCCCTTCCCAAAAAACGATTTCAAGCCTTCTCTCCTCATTCCTCAAATACCCTTCCCAACCCTCACTCTCAGTGGGTGGCCACCTTCCTGTTTTCTGTAAGTCCCCCAGCACTGCCCCCTTTGTTCTGCATCTGAGATCTCTCTCCTCCATCAGTTTACCTCTGTACTGTCTCATTGGTATGCATGCAATAGTTTCTCCTGTTGTAAAACAATGTGTTTTATGCTGCTTCTTCTATTCCTACAACCACCATTTCATTTCTCAGCTCTCAAAAGAGTTGTCAGTACTTGTTGTTTGCAATCCCTCTCTTCCCAGTCTTAGTTGAACCCACTCTGATTGGCCTTTGTACACTTCCTATGTCCAGAAATTGCTCCTATAAAGGCCATTTATGAATTACACATTACTAAATACCTGGTCCATTCTTTGTCCTCCTCGTGTTCAGTCCACGGATTTTGAAATATTTGCTCACTTCTTCTCTGTGAGACCTGTTCTTCAGTTGGCTTCTTTAGCTGGCCCTCCTCATCTAACCCATGCTTAACTTTGGATCATCTCAGGTTGTTATTGGGCTGTTGTTCTTGCTATTTCATCCAGTCTTATCACTTTCAATACTGACTCAATTCTGCTTCCACCTCCTACTCTAGTTGCTTGTGTGCTTCTGTGATGCTACAAGTTTGCAAATGCCAGCAGTGTCACCCATGATGGAGTGTTTCATGGGAGCTTCCAGACTAAGACAGACTAAGAAGAAAGGCCTGGTGATCTATTTCAGAAAATCAGCCAATGAAAAATCTTATGCAGCACAGCAGACGTCCGATGTAGTACTGGAAATTGATCACCCTAGGTTTGAAAGTGCTCAAAATACACAGTAACCACAGCAATGGACTTGAGCAGACCAATCAACATGAGGATGACACAGGGCTGGTCAATATTTTTTTCTGTTCTACATGGGATATCATTGAGTCACAAACAACTCAATGGCAACTTATAAAAACAACAAATGCTACTCAATATATATCTGCAGTTCTGATATTGTCCTAGAACTCCTAGTCTTTATATCCCTCTTTGCTTTTCCTCAGTCTAGAAGCCTGAGAGCTATCCTGGATTCCTCTCTATTCTGCCATCTCCCAATTCTAATATATCCAGGTCAAGATCTAAAAACAGGTGGTGTTGGGGAGGAAGAGAAGCAGGCAACCTTCCCCAGCCACTCCTATTAGTGTCTGGAGTCTTCCTAATGGAGTTAGAAAGCCCTTGAAGGAAGCTAATGAGTCTAGAGGAATCTGACTTCCCAAGATTCCGCTCAGTGCAGGTAGAAAGCAAGAGCCAGATCTGCTGTTGGTTTGAGGCATAACATGGAGGTAGGTTTCAGGTCTAATGTCACTGTACCTCCTCACTTCTGCTCTGCCCATCCTGCCTCAGCTCTGCAAAGACCCAGTGAGAGCCTGCTGTGTATGAGGGACACAGGCATAGACAAGGTCCCTGTACCCCAGGATCCTAAAAGGGACAAGTATGTAACCAAAGTGTACTACTAAATGAACCCATTGACAGAGGTGGAAACTGAGATGCAGAGAGGTTGAGTCTCTTGCTCAAGATCATAGCACCAATCTGATCAGAATGATTCCATTTCCAAGCAATCAAGTCCCATTAGGACAAATCCCCTTTCAAAACTGAAACTCAAAGGGAATACACAACCAGGCATGTAAGCTTATTAGTGACCACGTTGGTCTACTGGTGAGTGGAATTGGGGGAAATGCAACAATGACATGAAGTGAGGGAATACATACAAAAATGTCCAAACTTGCAGATAGTACCTATTTGACCTAGCTTTGATGGCTGGATGATCAGAACTCAACTAGAGGAAGACAAATTTTATATTTTGATAAAGGAAACAAGTGTACATTGCCATAATTTGATGAACTTGACCTATACTCATGGATGTTTGTTGTTGTTAAGTGCTGTCGAGTCAGTTCTGACCCAATAGCGACCCTGATTAGGGTTTCCTAGGAGCAGCTGGTAAGCTTGAGCTACCGACCTTGCAGTTCAAATGGCTTTGAAGTCTGGTGCATTAACCCACACCAGTAATCCTCAAAATACCAACTAAGAGGGAAGGAATCCTCACATCAAGGATCATTCCCATCCCCTCTGTACACAAGGTTGATAGGGATGGGAAACTTAGACATTGGCTACCTAAGGCTTTAAAGGTACAAAGTGACTGGCTTACAAGTTTTTAAGAGAGAGTTTAATTTCAGAGTGTGTATGGTAAGGTAGAATCCCCACTAAATAGTTTTCATCTTGTCTAGACTGGTCTGGAAAGGAGATGGGGATAAGATTCTTATTCAATCATGACTAATTGCGATTATCACAGCTGTAAAGGTAGAAGTTTTTTTTTTAACAAAAAGGGGGGAGTATTTAATCTTACATTCCAGGAACAACAGACCCTAGGACCATCAGGAAGAAGAACACAAAGCAGAATGGGAGACCCTATCCAGAGAAGCAACAACACCAGAGATGGATGCAGAGATGGGGTGATGGAGAGGGGGAGCAGCTGAGGACTCCAGACTCATGGAAAGAGAACGACTGTGTTCTGGTGGCCAGGAGTCAGGCTTGTAGAATGTGCCCTTTGGTTGTTTAAATTATTATATATTCCTGAGTGTTTTTGTGTACATCAAAAACAAACAACAAACAGAAACAGAGGGAATAGAAGCAAATAATGATGTATGGAGAGGAGTATAATCGTTGCAACGAAACTATGAGTGTAAAACCGATGTTGTACCATATAAACTACCACTCAATTCACAATAAAAACTTACAAAAAATAAAAAAGACTCCATTTCAACAATTGTGACAACTTAGCATGGTGGCTGTTAGGATCAGGGCGGGGTCATGTTGATGGACCAGGAACATCATAAGTCAGTCACCAAGGAGCAGCACTTTACCCAAGACTGGTATGCTCCCCTGCCCCTCGCTGTGAGGGAAAGTCCAAAATCCTTGGCCCTGGGGGAGGGGGGGTGCCCTCTAAAAGAAAACCAATCCTAAACCCCAGGAAATCCTGTTTTTTTCTGTGAGTCCCCTCTCCACCCGTGCTTTCACTGGGGAGAGGGCACAGAGGGCCCGAAGAGCACAAAGAGGGTCAAGGAAGGTCACTGGAATGGATGGGCACACATAGGGCAAGGTAGGGTAGAGGAGCGGGAAGGGACTGGCTGTCCCCTGTCTAAGATAGGGGTGGGATTGTTCACAGCAGTACCAAACTAAGGGAAGACACTCTGGAGGTCCCTAATCTCCTATTTGGAAATCATCTTGCTCTGCTCCCAGCCGGCCTGGTGGTGTGCCCAGAACTCCCCCAGACAAGCCACTGAAGGACTTCCCACCTAATACTCTGAGCAGGCTTCCAGGCACATTCACGTTTGATCCCAGGTCCTCCTACCTTGCGATGCAGTCCCAAAGCTCAGATTTAACATTAAGGCAGCCTGTGCTTCCAGGAAGAGTGGGGGAGTAGGCGAAGAAGCCCAGGGCACTCAGCCATTGGCAGCACATGGCCTCATCCAGATCCATCTGAATCCTGGGCTGTGGCCCACTCACCGCTCCTGGTACTTGGCATTTCGGGGTATCCCCTCGGAGCAGGCAGGTGAAAGTGATGGGGACTCTAGGGTCTGCGCGGGGGGCTGCGTTGGGTCACTCAAGGACCATTCCAGGGCATACCAAGGACAGCACCTGGACCCTGTGCCCTAGAAGCTGATAAGGCCCTGGCCCTGTCTCCGACCCTTTGAAGATGGGGTGGGTTGGGGTGCTAGGGAAGGCTTGTATGCAGTGGGGTGAGAAATGAGAGGGGCAGGGTTCCAGGGCCTAAGCCAGTGGAAGATCCCAAGGCAGGAGGGGCTGGGGAGCAGGTGGGTGGGGCAGGACCCTTGGCAAGACAAGGAGGAGTGTTGAGGCTGGGCCTGGACTCACCTTAACATCACTAGGCAAGGGGTATCCCATAGTTAGAGTGTGTGCCTAGTTTGGGAGTGAACATGCCACGGATGGGTCAGTAACTTATGAGATCCAGAGGTCACAGAAGTCTTGCCAAAGGCTAGGATGTGGAGGCCAGGAGAAGGAATTGTGGGGACTGTAGGCCCCCAGAGTGGGGTGATTTGGGGGTTTGGATCTTGGTTGCAATTAAGGTAAGGCTGTGTGGCAACTAGCTCCTATTTTCCTTCCTTAGCACCTTTCGGTCTGCTACGTGTTCCTATGAGGAGAGAGTTCAATACTATGGGCTTATGGGCAGTGCTTCATAACCATGAGGGGCAGGAGGGACACTGCCATACCTGACTGCAGTGGCAGTCTGTCTTGGAGCTCTCAGCTGCTGCCTTGTTGCCATAGTGACAGCCTAGCAATGGTATATTTGTAGGGGAAGAAGCGGGCATTACATTTTGGGGAGGGGACAGGTCTTATCAACAGCAGCTGCAACTGTGGCAGCGAAGGTGGTGGCAGCTGCAGAATGGCTGATTGGACAGGCCATGCCAGGTGAACTGCTTAAACAGGGTACTTTCTTGGCTTGGTGGGTACTTACCAATAAGCTCATGACTCCCACTGGTGTCACAATCCACACTGCGGTGATGACACATGTGGGTGTACATGCATTCACCAGAGTCAGTTGTGTTTGGGATAGAAGTCGACTATGTGTAAGCTGTGATAGAATTTTTCACAGTAAACATTTTAAAACACCTTGTGATTCTCTTCAATAAGCAATGAAATACCTATTGTCTGCCTTCCCTTATCAGTCAGGCTTTTGTGCATCCTTGCCTTCATACTGTACCTCCATGTTTATACCATCAACAACTTGCTTTAGGTGAGCTATGCCCACTCCTTCCCTCAAACAGCACTGGCTCAGGGGCAACCTCAGAGATTTATAATGAAAGAGGAGTCTGAGATCCTTTTATTTCTTTGCTCTTCTAAATGTTGAGGACCAGTTCTTCTCATGATGGCAGGCTGTCTGTTGGGGGGTGGGGAGTGATTGTGAGGCTCTAAAGGATGTGAGCTTTGCTATTTTTCATTTTGCTTGAAATTGAGTTCTGATTTTGATCCTACCTGTTTTTCAAAGGAATTAGAAGACATATTATGAAATAAATATACAACAAGCCTCTTAAAACATAAATAGGAAACAGTAGACTGTGTTGTTGGAGAGAAACCTATGTGTTTAGGAGCCAGGCTTCCAAGATTCATGTAGTTAGCAATCAATATCAGTGTTAATGCTGAACTTCCTGGCAATCTGGGCAAAGAGGATAGTGCAATGGTTTGCACAATTTGTGTGTCCTGTATCTAGTTAGTCATAAAAACAGAGCTCTTGCTTGGATATAGAAGAGATGGAGTGATTGAGCCCAAATGTGGACAGTGTGGCCAGGGCTCAGAGATCTGTGTATATCTTGTGAAGGTGAACAGTGCGCTGCACCCTCTGGAAAGCTCCCTAAAAGGAGACAGTGGTTTGAACAACAATTTATATTCCAGAAAATTTGTTCAATAAATGTCTTGGTACTCAGATGCTGTGTTCCATTGGGCAACTACAGGAGAGGTACCTGTTTGGAGAAGATTCTAGGTGTTCTGCCTACTTATCTAGAGGCTGTGAATACATTGGATCACCTGGACTTGCTTGAGCATAGTAGACTTGGCAGGTTGAGTAAGAAGATGACTGTGTTGTGCTTTGGGGGAATTTGGTCCTAGTCCCAGCTGGGCCATGGCTTTTGAGATGGTAATAGCAGTGGGAAGCTTTACCAGTGCCTGTTTCCTAAACATGTCCTACCTGCTGTCAAGGGCTGTACTTGTCATTCACGTTATCATTTTGTCATCAGGATAAAACTCAATTCTGAGTTCAGGTCTCGTCTTTGTCACTGTTGATTACCATAACTTTATTTAAGTACCCAATTTTTCTGGGCATCATGTCCTCACTGATCTCTAAGGCCTTCTCCAATTCAGAAATATCTGGAAAGCAAGAAAGGAGGTGCCTCATCCTATAGGAGATTTCTCTTGTTAACCTTTGGTTGTCTAGACTGTTATAAGACATTCTTGGGGACATAACAAAACAGTTTGCTTTAGGTCTACTAGGCTATAGGGAGAGAGGTCCATTGGCATAGTGGGTGAAGCTAGCCAAAAGGTCAGTGATTCTAACCCAAGAGAGAAAATTGAGTAAGTCTGCTTCTGTAAAGATTTACAGTCTTGGAAACCTTATGGGACATTCTACTCTGTCCTATAGGGTTACTATGAGTCTGAATTAACTTGGGGAAGAATGAGACCCACAGAACTATGAGTGGCTGCATAGAGGTACTCTTTGACCATTGACCCAGGCCAATGGGTGCTTCACAGGGCTCTGAATGTAATTTCACAGCAACTCTGTTTTTCACCTTTACCAGACAAGTGAGATGCTGGAATTGAGGGAGCATCAAGGCTGGTGAGTGGGGGCTCGTGGGGAAATTTTCCTTTCTTTAGGTGGCCCTATGACCAGTTCCCAATGGGCTCCTTTCCCCTTCCCTGAGCACAAAGGAGGCTGGTAGCCACAACAATGATGAGGCCCCACTGATCGATGAATAGAGGAGCCAATGTCACCTCTTCTTTCATCCTCCAAAGTCTCAGTTCATCCACCCCAACAGCCCCACTGTAGCTGAGCTTCCTTCCTTTGTGATAATTAGGGATAACCACCACCCAGTGATAGTTTTACAAGAGGGATCTGTCCAGTCTACAAGGACTTAAACACTCACAATAAACCTGTTCTTTGCCTTTCCCCGAGGGATTCTCAGATCCATGTCTACCCTATTCCCTGATCTGTCCTAGCAAGATGTATGCCAGACTGCCTTGGGGAAGGCCATTGATTCTCAGTGTCCTTGTTTTACCATCCAGAGGCCTGGCCCTTATTGAGTAGTCCCAGTGAGGTGCAGTTTACATTCTCAGAAGCTAAATGAAAGGACGGATGTTCCAGTACACTTGGAGGCACAATGAAAGAAAGACCTGTCAATCTACTCCCCAAAAGAAAGCCTATGGGGGAGCTGTATTTTGACACACACAGGGTCACCATGAGTCTGAGTTGACTGGATGGTGACTAGCTTGGTTTGGACTTTTTATAGGTCCATGGGATGATCCTGGCATCACAGAGACCTGGGTCTGGGACACTTTGAATCTGGCGTCTGCTCGCTCTCTTGTTCTCATGCAGTGGTGTCACTAGGTGGGGGGATACAAGGGGAGTTAACTGCACCAGCTGACACTATCAGAAGGGGTGACACAAAAATGACTGCCTTTGCCATTTTTGTGCAGTGTTTCAATTGAAATTTCTTATTCTTTCAAAAGAAATTAACTCTGTATTTAGCTATAGCATCCAAAACATTTTGATTACCTACAAGGCCAAATAAAGCTCTATATTAGTTTACTTTTTGAACCATCTAAAGTGCTCTGGAGTTCTGCTGTGGCACTGTGGGATAAAGCCCTGGACTATAAGGTCAGTTTGAACCACAAGGTTGGTAGTTCAAACTCATCAGTTGTTCCTTGGAAACCCCATACAGGGTAGCTATGAGTTGGAATGGATTCAACAGCACTTAACTACAACAAGAAAGTGCTCTGGTCAGAGATGTCATTACTTCCAAATTACAATGCCACTTTGAATCACGTGGTTTTGCCTGCACAAGCTAATAGCATGCGTTCATTATAGTTTTCTTTGCTGCCAGTTTCTATAGTGGCTGATTTTGTCAGATTTACTGCTGTTTCAGCGATAGTATTATGGTTTTTACTATTTGTGAACCATACATCAATAACTTTTTTTGAGAATTTAGTGGTAATTAAAGCGTAAGGAGGATACAAATCTGAAAAGACTCCAACTCAGTAGCTAATAAACAATTTTGTTTGAAATATTCATATAATGTAGGAATTGCTACATTTAAGAAAGTTGCAGCAATATTTATCACATACATTGGGAAGTCTAAAGGTATTGCTAAAAAAAAAACACAGAACCCTTCATTAAACAACAATATCAAAAGGTAAGCTACTGTTTCTCAACATTTCCTCCATCTATGTCTATACACTTCTGAAGGTGGTACACCCTTCTTTAACCCTTTCTAGAAGAATTATTAACTCTTCAATTTACACTATGTCAAAACTCCAGTTTTGGCATCTTTCAGGGACTCAACTTATGGTGCTTTGCAGTGTTATTTAAGCTTGGGGGAAAAAAAAAAGAAGTGTGAGTAGGGTGAGGTCAGAATTGTATGGTGGATGGGGTAAAATTCCTCATTGGAATTCTCATACAACAACCCTTGCTACCCTTGAAGAATGCCATCCTGGGGGGAAGAATTCCTCAGCTCAGTTTTCCTGGCCTTTTCCTTATCAATGCTATTTTCAACATTTGTAAAACTTCTTCATAAAGAACTCCTATGATCATCCTGTGTCCTTCAAGAAAACATGTTAGGACAACCCTTTTGGTAATTCAAAAAGAAGCTGACATAACTTTCTGAGCTGACTTCAATGCTATGAATTTCATTGGTTCATCAAATCCCCTTGGAATTTCAATTGGACCTTTATTTTGAAGGTTAGATCCTAATAAAACTGAGATCATTGTATGACTGAGAGAATTGTCTAAAGCCATTTACTGATCGCAAAGTTATGTTTCAACATGTTCTGTTTAGAAAAAATTTGCGCATGTATGAAATGAAACCTTTTGACTTATCCTTGTAATATTCTATAATTAAATTTGTTACTAAAGGGCTGGGTATAGTCATAGATCTATGAGAGGGCTGATACCATGAGTTGAAGCATTGGATGACACTAAGTCTAGTGATGCCAGTGGCCTGATATTGTCCATAATCACACTTTGTCCTCTGGACTGAGTCTGATTCAAGGGAACCCTGGCCCATCCCATCCCTGACCTCAGTCCACTCTGTCTTCAGTGTTTCTAGAGTCCAGGAATGCCCATTCTGTCCTGAAGTGGTTTCTTTATGCCAATGAGTTTCTGGAGGAGCTGCACCAGGGCATCACCAAATGGGAGAGATCTGCAGTTATGATGAGGTCAAGGAGGTGTTTGAGGACAAAGAGCAGATGGCATGTACCAGCCTGGGACTGGGAGCTGTGGAATAAACAGGGCCTGGACTCTAAGTCAAAGGGGAAACAATGAAGGGGATTCATGGAGAAGCCAAGGACTGTCCCTACCCTTCAAACTGCCCAACTTCAGGGGTCCTACCAAGTCCTTCTTATTTGATACCCCCAGAGGTCAGTCATGAGTGGAAGGGTGAGCAGCAGTTCCACATCCTATGGAGCTTCAGACTAGCCTTATTTCACCTGAGGCCCACCTGGGACATAGTGACTGGGGGAACCTCCTACATTACCTGTTTTCTTCAAGTACCAGTGACTCTTTCTCTTCTTTAGCAGATAGAACTCTGGAAGGGGTACCCAAATGCAATCTACACAGAAGGCATGTATGTGGTAGTGCCCCTTCTGAGAGTGGTGCTGCTGATTGTCATCACCTTGTTCATCATCTGGAGGTGCCAGATGCAGAAAGCCACCTGCCATCACCCTTCCTATGCTCAGAATCGGTACCTTGTCAGTTGTGGCAGGCACAGCGTCCCTTGGGTCATGGTGTACCACAGCACTTGGCATGGGCCAACCGAGTCCTCTGGGCACCAGGGGGCAGGGCAGAACCCGCAGGTGGTGTTGGACCACAGTGTGACTCAAGAACACCATCTACCTGGTCTGGTGAGAAGAGATGGGGATAAGATTCTTACGATTCAATAGTGAGTAGTTGTTATGACAACTGATTGCCACTGTCACAATTGTAAAAGTAGAAGTTTTGTAACAAAAACAAGAAAGTAGTTAATCTTAACAGTCCAGAAACAGAGGACCTTAGGACCATCAATTGAGAAGAGCAAAAGGGGAATGCTAGACCTTATCCAGAGAAGCAGCCACATCAGAGATGGAGGCAGAGAGGAGGACATGGAGAGAGGGAGCAGTTGAGGACTCAAGATTCATGGGAAGAGAGGGACTGAGAAATGGCGGCCAGGAGGCCGACTTGCAGAAGGTGCTCTTTGGTGGTGTAAATTATTTTATATGCCTGAATTTTTTTTTTTTTTTTTTGGGGGGGCGGGGTTTAAAGACCTAAAGTGAATACAGAGAAATACCGATAACTGATGGTACATGGAGGGGATTATAATCGTAATGAAACAGGGTGTGTGAATTGTTGAATGTAAAACTGATGATCTGCCCTGTAACCCTTCACTCAATTCATAATAAAAACGTAAAAAAAAAAAAAAAAAAAAGAACACCATCTACCTCCCTGAGTTCTCCCTCCAGACTGGCCAGCGCCACCTTAATGCCATCCTATTGAGGAGGTGATTGCTCTCAAGGAAAGCAACATTGAGGAGGCCCATCTTTTTTTATAGCTATTTACCTCCTAAGTATAAGGAGATAGTGGCTGCCAACCCTGGCTCAGACAAGCAATGACACACAGGTTCTGAAAGGGAGCTTCCTTCATATCTTTGCTTTTCTTTTGACATTTTAGAAGATTGTGTCCCAACAAAACAGCCTTAGTCCTCTATTTTTTTTTTTTTTTAAATAATACTGATAATTAAAAAAAAATGTTTTATTGTGAATTATGTGATAGTTTACATGGGAGAACATTAGCTTTACATGCATCCTATTGTATATGGTTTCATTGCCATGGTTACAATCCCCCTCCATGCATCATCAACCAACCAAAGGGTAGACCTCGCAAGACTGCCCCCTGGTCATCAACATACAGCCCCTCTCCCTCTCTGGGTATAGAGTCCCCAGCCGTTCCATCTCTCCACATCATTGTCTCTGCCTTCATCTCTGACAGCCCTAGTCCTCTTGTTGCCAAATAATTCCATAACTGTGGGTTTTCAGATGTCAGTTGGCAATGACAGGGTGGGTAAATTTGGAGGTAGGGATCATGCATGAGTTAAAGTCCCCTGGGAAGAGCAACATACCAGAGAGCCCAGCTCTCCTGAATGCCCCGCCCCCTGCTGCTGTCTTGCGCCCCTGCCAGGGGCTGGCTTCTTTTATGCCACAGGAATTAACAGTGAATTGTGACCCAAATATACATAGGTTTGGACCCAGGGACAGGGGCCTAGCTAGGTCTGGAACCCAAGCCCTTCAGTTTCCCTTCTCCCCAACAGTCCTGTGCTTTCTATCCTGACAGGGCTTTTGAGGATTAGGACAAGGATTGGGCAAAAATAGAAAAAGAAAAAAAAAGAACACAATCAATAAGGAGCACAACAAATCAATACAATTAAAGGATTTCCCCACCAAACATCTACCTCCCCACTCTGACCAGGTGAAGAGTAATGTCTGGAGCAACTTGGGTGAGGGACAGGCTGTGGAGGTTGAGACCAGGGGAGTGGTCGGATTAGCCCCTTGTCCCAGATTAGCCAGGGGCTCACTGCATTCTGTCACCTTGAAGGGCAACTAGGGTCTCTGGGCTGGGCCAGACTGCTTTGCCATGGGGAAAATCACTGTGCTGATCTTTCCAACAGAGCCCTGGTTATTGCACAAGATGTGTCCTGGTATATTCTCCCATGTTTCCCTGTCCTTGCAGCTGAGAGACCAACTTGTCTGGGTCTGAAGTATTCTCCTTGGCAGGTTAATTGGCATGTAAGACCATTGCAGCCTTGAGCTTGGCCTCTGCAGCCTTGAGCTTTGTGGTTTTGAACTGGTATGAAACTTCTGCTTCTATATTTTGGTGCATTGGACTTGAAGTATGCATGGATGATTTCTTCTTCGTGATGGTGCCCACCTGTGGAGAAGGCCCTAAAGTGTCCCTAGTTTTCTTATTTCTTTGTGGGGAGATGAAGAGAGTCCATGAGCTGGGCCTGAAGGCCTAGCCTGGGTTTGTGTGACCCAGGAGTCACCAGTCACTCTACTGCACTGAGAACTGTTAATTGTTTGACAATACCTCCCACATCTCCATCTTCCTGATGCTTTAAACAAATGTAGAACATTTTTATGGAGCATCAGTTTGGCACTTTAGGATAAGCACTAGACATCTAACTGCAAGGTCAGTGGTTCAAATCCGCCAGTTGCCCCTATATAGGAATCATTAAGAGTTGGAATCTAATCAAAGGCACTTAACAATAACAACAACAACAAATAGTGACCTGCCTGCGTTTGTTGGCAAGCACAACAGTTTAAACCACACAGAAGCCACAAGCTTCCTGCATTTGGATGTAGCCTGGCTTTGAGGCTCCAGCTGATTTCTGGAGAAGCCTCTGATCTTAGGGGTCTTGCTGTGAGGCGTGTTTAAAGTCAGAGAGCCCCTGAAATTTGCCCTTAGGGTTCTAGAGATGTGTATTCATAGGAAAGCAGCCTTAGCTGAGGCATCCAAAAGTCTCTGAGGAAGTCGGGAATCCCAAACTGAAAGTGTTGAGCCTCAACCTGGAGAATCAGTCTCTTGTCAGTTGACCCTTTTAGTCCCCTCCCCCAAACCTGAGGTGTCCTAAGTGCCAGGTGGCATTTCACTTCTACTTTCTTCTTTTCCCTTTCCTTGGTCTCTAGGAAGTTTTGACCTAAAAGGCCTTTTCCTTATCTGTGGTGGAGACCATGCAAAAGGGCCTAGGGAAGCCAGGTGTGACATGGGAAACTGTGATAAGATACCCCAATGTGTCTTCTCTCCAGTTTGAAAGTAGCAAGGCTTAGGTCCCATTGACCAGAGGCAAAAATGGGATGCCAAGCAGAATCTTCTCTGCTGAGTGCCAGGATAGCTAGGGACTTGGTAGAGATGGGAAAGAGCAGGAAACAGATGCCTGGGTGAATGGCCATGAGGGCAGGTGTGTGTCCTTTAGGGGCAGATTGTAGGCCCATGGGAAGAACCCAGAGTCAGTGCCTTCAGACCCCATTGCCTTTCATCAGGGTGGATTGAGGCTGCAGCCCGTGGATGTTGAGATATGTTTTGTAGGAAAAGGACTGGGCACAATTGCCATGACCCCTGCAGTACACATGTGGCTTTCAAACTATCTTTGTATGGATTTGAAGTTGATAAAATACCAGCTCTTGAGTGGTCACATTTTTGCTGCCTTGGGGCTTGTATACAAGTATGTTCATATGTATATTTGTGTTGTTGTTAAGTGCCATCGGTTCCAACTCATAGACACCTGTATAGAATTTCCAATGAGCAGCTGGTGAATTTGAACTGCCAATCTTTGGATTAACAGTCCAGTGTTAATCCTACAGCACTATGGCAGGAGTCCTCATATATGTGTGTGTTCTGCCTTGTTTCACATGTTTGTCTGAAACAATAGCCATGGGGCATCACCTCTTGAGGTTAGGTAACTTGGTGACAAGAACCAGTGCAAGGGAAGTGAAGTTAGCTCTTGGGGGCCCGCAGAGCTACCCACTCCCATCCTTTCACATGGGGCTTTGGAAGAAGACACAGCAACTACATACTGTCAACTACTGCTCTGTGGGAGCTCCACTCACACGTCCTTCAACCCTGTTGCTCGGAGTCACTCTTGGGCCTTAACTTCCTTTGTTGTGTGGAAAGACATTGACTTTGGGAAGGGTGGGACTAGTTATATAGATATTTTGCATTTTTTAAAAAAGGAAGAACAAAATGTTTTAGAAAAATTTCAGTAACTTCACTTGTTATAAACCTCAAACTTTAAAATAAGAACTGCCAATCCGTCCTTTTCATTTGACCCCTCACCTTGGGGTTCCCACCCATTGTGGAGCCAGATAGGGAGCCCTGGTAGCACAGTGGGTCAGGCTGCATTTCTGCCTGACAAGCTTTGAGTCTACATTACAGGAAATATACACACACGCCTCACTGCACGCTACTAATACTAATCAGTATAATTAGCTCATTTAAAAGTGTTGTAATCAGACTGTCTGTGACCAGTAAAATCTCATTCATTTGAAACCCACTAATTCAGAACTTCCAGCACATAGCAACGTCAGAGAATTCACAATAGAGCAGCTATTGGAAATAGTTTTTACTGTCATGAGGTCAGGACTTTCCAGTGTCAAAGGAATCCAGTTTAATGAGTCTCTTTTGAAACTGTGAGGGCACCTTCAGTTTTGAGGTTCAGTGGTTCTCAAATGTCAGGCTCCTGTCCTGAGTGACGTCTGGTTCTCTGTTCACCATGGCCACGCCTTTCACTGTATTCCTTTAGTGAACAATAGTTGAAAGCAGTACAACAGTGTAGCTCTGTAAGTATTTTGGAAAGCAGATATTTTCCTGTTAGACTGGCTTCTCCTGCTGTTTTCCACAAACATTCAAACTGAGGGAGATTTTCTTTCACATGTTGGTAAGAGGTGAGTCTCATTCTCTCTCATTTCTCTGGCAAAGATATCCAAACAGCACCCCACCACCACCACCACCACCATTGTCAGTCTCTGACATTGATCAGTGCCTTCCCTCCTCCCACCCTCCGGGTCCAAGCAGGATCCCAGACAACCAGGACTGAGGCAGATCCTTTCCTATCTGTCTCCTTCTCTCAGACCTGCTATTGTGAATTTGTGACAGTGGAAGCTCTGAAACAATGACTGTGAAGTGGATTCAATTGTGAACCACTTTAAACAGCTCAGACTCATGTGGTGGCTCTGTCAACTGGGACATCTGTGCACAAAATAACATGGCAGGGTTAAGCTGCTAACCACGAGGCTGGTAGACTCCAATCTCTGCTTCTCTGGTTGCTTGGCCATTATCCCTCTGGGCTTCCTCAAGCTTGAGCTCTAAGCAGGTCGGGCCCATGATCTGACTTGAGGCAAGTTATGGAACTGCAAGGCTCACTGACAACCACCAGAAGCTGGGAGACACAAGAAAGGACATCCCCCTAGAAACTTCAGAGAAAGTCCAATCCTGCTGACACCTTGATCTCAGACTTCTGGTCTCTAGGATACATTTCTGTTGTTTTAAACAGCCCAGTGTGTGGTCTTTTGTTCTAACAGTCCAAGAAAACTCAAAGATCAAAATAGGTTCATTGTGCTTACCAATCAGAAAGACATCGTTGACCAAAGGGGCAGTTTAAGTTGAATGATGGGTGAGGAGCTAGACTAGAGCAAGTAATCTAGAAGGTGAGAAAGTGGAGATTGCGTGTGAGGCAGAGCCAGAACTCTCCAGGTGTTCACCACAGAGCATGAGGAGTCCATGGGCAGTGGTGTGAGTGAGACCAGATGTGGTGGTCATTTCAACTCAAATGCTCTTGAATGAGTGCCTTCCATGTGCACTTAGTGCAGTTTGGATAAGACAGGGAAGGAAACAGATGAGGTGCTCATGGAACGGATGGCCCAGTATTGGCAAAGAGGTGAAGATGCTTACATGCATCAGAGAAACATCCAGGCGCGGGGGAGCAGCTGAAGTCCTGGGAGAGTGCAGAGATTGCTGACGAAGCTGGAGATGCATCCTGTACCCACGGGAGGGACTGGCCTTGCCCAGGGCACGGGCGCTTCATCCTTTGTAACCACAGCAAGGCCTTGGAGACCGTGTGAAAGTCCTAGCAGCTTGTGGGCTTCAGACTCAGTGCCAGGAATGGAATGCTTTCCATTCAATGACTTCTTAGCCTCCTTTCCCAAGCAGGACCACTTAGGCATAAAAACGCAAAGTCAGTTGCTAAGAAGTGGGGAGCCAGGATGCAAATCCATGGGACAGTAGGAGTTGGGAACCTGACCCTCAATACCCTGCTCCCTGGTGTATCCTGTTTGTCAGCAGTAAGTGAAGAGTGTTAGGATCTGATAAGTTGACTTCTACAGGTCTGGTTTGTGCAAACAGCACATGCAGACAAAACCCAATAAGTATCAATCAAGGTTTATTGAGCTATGAAAGTACACTTCTCAGAAGAGGAGATGTAGAAGCCTCTTGCGAGAATGAGAGACAGCCTGGGCTTTCTAGTCTTTCTCCTTCTTTATAGGGTTTTTGGCTTCTGTCACTCAGGTTTAATTATGATTGGTGGCAGGGTCTAGGTGGCACATAATCTTCATTGGCACCTTTTTTTTTTCTCAAGGTTTGCTGGGTTCAGTTTCCTTGAATTGTTGAATCAAGTGCCAGGTGTTAGGATGTGGTTGGGCCTGCGTCGGGTTCCTACTCTGTTCCTAACAGAGAGACAGCCTGTCTGCTAGAAGTTCTGGAAAGCGCACAGTTAGATAGTGTCTTCTGGAACTCTTTGGAGCCAGTTCCTTCCTGGAACAAGCAAGATCTCTGGACTACCAGTCACAAAACCCTGGTCCATGACCAGCCCTGGTCTTGAAGAGCTAAGTGAAACTGTATTATGCCCCAACCTTCTCCAAGTCCTCCTTTCCATTTGTAAAATGGTGGTGTGGCCTCCCTGCACTTGGCTGAAAAATTGTGCAGTTCTCAGGGTGGTGCATCTCACGTCGGTCTTCTGTTCTCTCCTCCCTCACGTCTTCCTCCACTCAAGCCTTTGCACTGCCCTCCCACCTTTTTCTAGCTGTGGGTCAAGTGACTTTGACTCCAGTCTCTTGACTTTAGTATGCACCTCACATCTGAGTCTGGGATGCTGAAAAGTACATACATTCCCATCAGAAGAGTCACCTTGTCCACCCCCCTACCTGCAGATCAGGACCTTGCCCTTCCACCCCTCTGAGAGCTCTCTGGACAGGGGCAAAGTATGGTGATCACTCCTAAATCTCTCCTGGTGTCTAATCTGCTGCTCTGGGGAGGCTTTGAAGATTTCTTTGCAGGACACCTCCCAGGAATGTAAGTTCAAGTGCTGCCATCCTGGGATCTCAAAGCCACTTCTGCTGGAGCCACTGGTGCCCAGACCTCACCAGCTAGTTTCCAACAATCAGTCCCTTTCTGCAGATTTCAGGGCTGGGGACAGTGGCTAGGACCAGTAACATAGAGTGTGTAGGGTGAAGAGCATGACTTCTCCCAATGAAGCCCCCATACTTACAGTTTTCCTTCCTGTTCACCTGTTTGGTTAGCTGTTCATTACAATGGAAGCTCAGTGAGAACAGGGACTGGTTTCTATACCCTGGTACCTGGAACTTACCAAGTGGAGTCAAGAAAACTGACTGCCCTGACCCTCTCTGTGTTCTCAAGGTGGCCTTCTCTGTGTCCACTCCTCTGCTCCTCAGTCTCTCTAAGATTCTGTTTACAGGTTCCTAGTTTCATTAACAATTGGGGGTGAAGCCTCCAGCTGCCTGGAAATTCTGGATTTGCAGCCAATGTCCAGCTTGCTGCTCGGGGCTGCCACTAGATCATCCCTCCCCATGGCTTCATCCTCTCTTTCCTGGAACTCCAGTAGAAGACTGTCAGCACAGCTGATTTGACAGTGAAGCTGGACAACCCCCAACATACTTTCCCCAAACCATGAAACACAATTGACAACTCAGCCCATATGTGAAAGTCCTAGTGTGGCGATGCAAGCTTAGCACTGGATTGGTAACAACAAAATTGGCAGTTCAAAGCAACCAACCACTCTAGGAAACCCTGGACGGGGTCTCTCTTTGAGTCAGGGTCAGCTCAACAGCGCTTAACATCAACAACAACAACTCCATGTGAATAAGGGCCACTGAGGCTCTGAAAGGGGAAGACAGTTGCTTAAGATACCTGAGAGGCAGGGCCTGGGTCTTGCTGTCTTTCTCTGCTGCTGACAGTGGCAATGAATAGTGCACTGGGAATTCCCAAGCTGGCTGGGAATTTGCATGGAAGCCACTGGTGAAGGCAGGTGGTTGTGCAGGCTGGAGACAGGAAGATATAAAGATGTACCAGATAGAGACAGACGTACAAATCACCAGGGCAGACAAACAGATGGCTAGACAGCCGCCAGGGTTGGACACCTTCTCTGGGATGGCTGGACAGCCTCTGGATTTCAGCAAAATCTTAGATGCAATTAGTTTGGTTTGTTTGGTCCCAAGTAGAGGCTCTACGCTCACGACCCACTTTAGGTGGAAAGAGAACATGTTTTCTTTGGAAACGCCTAGCTTAAGGGCAGGGAGTGCTTTTGCTGGGATCTCTTTCTTTGAATAAAACAGCTCTTATTTTAATAAAGATCCAAGCCCTCCAGCAGAGAGTTCACCGGAAAGAAATGCAGAAGGTCAATAAACATATGAAAAATGTCTCAAGTTTATTCATAATTAAAGCAGTATAAATTAGAGGGAAAATAAGATAGGTATCATCTTTCAGCCATCATAATGATGCCTTTAGAAAGTTTCATAATGTCTTCTGTTGATGAGGCTGTAATGAAGCAAACATTTTCTTCCCTGCAGTGGACCCCTACCCTGATCGGCATCTTTGCATAGGACTTTCACGTAGTCAGTCAAATTTGAAAACTCACAGATCTTGTGACTCTTGGTGACCTTATAGAACACAATGACCACCATCCTGCATGGGGCATCATGTGGTGCTTTGAGCAGACTCCACTCCGGAAAGACTTGGCAGATCATGGTGTCCCCTTGGATGTGCCCCCACTTTCTTGGTTATTTTCTCTTGGACCTCTGACTGTTGAACAGAGGCCTCCTCAAGCCATCCCCTGCCTCATCCTTGAACTTCTTGGGGCCCAAGACAAGATCATAAGGAAATACTGGGAGCTTTCATCTTACAATCATTTCTATAGTTTCCTCCAAACCACTCCAAATATATGCATGGAGTTAAAGTGTGCAAATGTGAGTGTTGGGCCTCACAAACTGAAGACTCCTACTCTGTTGAGGCTCTGACGACTCCTGTGTGGTGGGGATTGTTGGTGCCATTTTCCCAGATGCAGACTGAAGCCCAAAGAAGGGAGTAACCTGCCTGAGATCACATCCTGAGGTCATGGCAAACCCTGGAGTCAACAGACAAAGCTCAGGGTAGCTACATACATGTGAATTTAAGAACGATAAGGAAAATTTTCTTTGGTGCTGAGAGCCCCGTGGGTGCAGCAGGTCCTTCCTTGCTTGCCCGTCCCTCCCCTCCGTTGTTTTCGTGGTTCCTACCTGGGTGGAACCAGGTCAGCGAAAGGCTGTACCCTACCCCACCCCCAGCATTAGGTCTAGGGGATATGAGGCAACATGTGCTCTGCTGCAGATCCCTTCTGAAGATGGGGCTGGATGAAGTTAACTTTGCTTAGGCTGCTAACTGAATTCAGGGCCTTAGACCTGCCTCTGATTCTTCCTAAACATAATGGGGTTGGACCCTCTACTCCCAAAAGGCTAAGTCGGGAGATACCACAGCCAGAATAGTGTTATCACAGGCAGAGACACACTAGCTCATCTCTTGAGTTGCTTACAGAGTAGCAGGGGAGAAGGCCTCAACTCCAGCCCACAAGATACCACAGGAACACAAGGTACTGGGCCCAAGGCCGGTCTGGGAAGGGAGTCTGACTCCACCCACAGGCCTGGGTATATATTCCTGTGGCTCTTACCCCTCAAAGAGGTGGATTTCCAGTTGCTTCTCTGGACCCTGCACTTTGTACACACTTGGCCACAGCTGATAGGGATGGCAGGAGGTCCCCCTAACCTCAAGAAGGAGATGGAAATGTCCATGGCAGAAGAGCTGCATCCTGGAGGCCAAGTGCAAGGCCAGGAGCACCTGGTAATGAGAGGTAATGATGCCCTGAACCTCTTTATCCTTGGGTGGCCTGCACTTGGCCATCTTGTGGGTGCGTATATGTGTTCGTACTTGTGTGAGGAGATGTGTGCATGTTTGTGCATTGGTGAGCATGCGTTGATGTGCTAGGGGCCAGGGGTTGATGATGAGTAGCCCATGAAATAGGAGGTTATCAACAACATGTGTAGATCCTTGATCCAAGCCACCACTGTGTCAATTGCAAAATATTCAGAGAACTCAAATCAAAAGACCACGTAGACCAGTTCCTATCTTCTAGGGATTTGCCCAACTCTGATCTCCATGACACACCAGGGTCCCTCTCCATGCATGGACATACAAGAGTGGCCTCTCCATTCTGTGTTAACGTTTGTTCCTGCCCTACTGCAATGTACCGATTTCCTCTATCTGGAGTGCTCTTTCCCTAGATTTTACATGGTTGGGTTCATCTTCTGTTTCAGGTCTTTGTTTCAATGTTGTTTCCTAAGCTTCTAGAAGCAACCCCTTTCTTCCACCATGCTGCTCAGCTTCCATCATTTTTAGAACTTACCATGATTAGTTTCTGTTTTATACTCTCCCTCCCCCTTAAGTACTCACAGACAGTCAATTCCTTGATTGCTGGGATCTGCTCTCTCTCCATTATTAAGCCTTCAGTAATTTCTTGCTGACCTCTGGAATCAAGTCCTGGAGTCACACAATGAACAGGGATGAATAGATGCAATGTGAGCCCTAAGAAGTTTGGGGACCCTGCTCTCTTTGAGGTGAGTCTTGTGTCTGGGAAACCCTGGTACAAAATCTGTGGGTTTCCTCTGTTCTTCCTAGAATCGCTGAACCGTGGATCCCAGTCCCTGGGAAGTGCCTCCCAGCAGCGACAGAATTTGGAACCAAAGGTTGCTGGCTCAAATGCAAGCACACAAACTGGGGATGTGAATGCCTCCGGGGCCAAGAAAGCGGTACTGTATGGGGCACCTGGTGGCTGAGTTAGGGGCTCCAGTCTAAGCATGGCAAATGGAACAGGGCCAGGTGTTGAGTTGGGGAAGGAGGAAACTCCTGTGTACCAGGTAGGCACAGGAGAGTCAGGACACCCATTGGAGGTTCAGGGTCATCCATTGGTAGCTGAAGTATAACCCTGGGAATCCAGAATGCCTGACACATATATTATTTGGGGAACACACACACAGTTTACTCTGTATAACTGTAGCATGTATGAAATGGCAAGCTATATATCTCTCAGGGGTGGACTAGGATGAAGCAAACAGAAAGCCCAATCATGGTTACTCCCTACATTTTGTACCAAATATTTTGTGCTACTTTCAATAACCTTCTAAAGGAAAAAAAAAAAGGCACCAATGGGAGAAAAAAAAAAAAAAAAAAAGCATTCAAATCAGAGGCAGCCTGTGATTGAAAATAAGACAGAAATGTTGAATTCGTATCCTGTGTCTAAAAGCTCCAGTGTGCCCCATGTCTCTGAGATCGCAATTCTAGTAGAGAGTGTCAAAAATGGACAATCAGAAAAGAAATATCTGTCAAGGAAATGTTAGACATAATAAAAGGTATCAATCAGCCTGTGTTGCTGAGAAATGAATCTTCCTTATTTTGGTATGTTAATTACAAAGCATGCTACCTGTGAAGCGAAAAAAGAAAAAAAAAAAATTAAACAAAGAAAACACAGGCACTAGCCACCCATCATTGTTTTGCCTTCAAAACTCTCTCTCTCTTTTTTGCCCTTCTGATCCCAATCTATTGGAAAATCAAGGAATGGTCTGGAGATTTTTGTCTGAGAGACTGTTGATTAAGTTCCCCTTTATAGTTCTGGGTCTCCTTGACACCCACTGTCCTTTCACTGATATTTTTGAACTATCTTAAGAAGAACAGGAAAATAATAAAGTATGGCTATGAACTTCTGTTCATAAAAAAGTCTCCCAGATGTCTTTGTGCTTCTTATGAAAAAGATACATTTTGCATTATTGCAACAAATGGAGCCTGGTGGCATAGTCCCTGTGAAAACTCTGTGCTGAAATCATTCCACCTTGTAGCTGAATCTTGTTACTGATGAATACCTTAGATGACAGGTAAGCCTAGGTTGTCTATTTATTTTTAAAAAAAATTAATCCTGCTAAAATACATATAACAAAATAGTTGCCAATCTAACCACTTTTTTTCACGTGTGATTCAGTGACATTAATTACCTTTATCATGTTGGGCAATCGTGATGTTTGTCATCTACTTCTGATCCAGCACATCTTATGTGCTTTTGGCAAGTGAAGTTGTCAAGCTGAAAGTTGAGCTTTTTCATTCGATTTCCAAAGATTGCTCAGATTCTCATCTTATATCTGCCTTTGAATGTTGTTCAGGAGTTCCTGAGGAGTATACGGAGTGGGGTTGCTAGACTCTCTCAGCTGTCTGAAGCTGCCAACACTTTACTCTAGAGGCGTCAGGGTCACGTGACTTCTCATGGGCGCACTAGTGGTCCTAGGCAACATACAGGGGTATCGTTAGACCAGGGCTAAGCAGCATTCTCGGACTAACCATTCCTGTCTTCAGGGTTCCCGAACATCGAGAAAGGAAGCCCAAGGGGATGCCCAGGAACATCTTGGAAGCACGTGGTTCCCATACAATCGGTAAGGAGACTCCGAGACTCAGTGGGAGGAAAGCTGGAGCTGCTTGAACAGGGTGGAGGGGCCATAAGTCAATGGAACAGAAAGAAGTAAGCAGCTGGCCAGTACTTGATGTGTGGGGTCTTTGTTGTCTCCTCAGCTGACTCTGCCCGTCAGGCCCTCAGGCCCCAGGGTCTCTTTGCCAGGGAAAGAAATGGCTGGGACAGTGATACCCTTCCTTAGAAACACTAATCAGTTGAAGCCCTCTGTTTTCTTATTTGTTGGCAGCCTGAACACGGATCTGATTGCAGGGATTGGCCTGGAAGAGTTGAATGGGCTGGAGATGGAAGTCATGAGAAGACAGGTGAGCATCTGCCATGTGGGGATTTCCTCACCAGTGCTGCCTCAGTTTGAGGATGGATGGACCCTCAACAGCTTTGATCCCACCCCCACCCCCACCATGGTGTCTTCTTGTTTCAGGACTTTTACTCTGAGACCCCAGACAAGCCCATTTCTGGCTTCTGTGGCACGATTGGAAGGGGCTGACTTTGCCTGGAAGACTTGAATAATGTCAGGGGAGAGGCGAGAAAGCTGGGTCTACCAGTGCTGGTACACCGGCCCTTAGGCCCACTGCAGCCCTGGGCTTGACTGCCCACTGATACATTGGCCTCCCTAAGAGTTCAAAGCTACATTGGGTTATGATGGCACTCTCCCTCATTGCTGTGTTTTGGGCTCCATGGACGAGTTTGGTTCACCTGCCTACTCCTATTTTCCCTGCAGCTGAATATGATCACTGGGCGTCTGCGGGACCTGGAGGAGCAGGGTGCCACCTGGTCTCGTCGGGAGACTCTGATTTTCACCATGCTGGTGTCGGTCTGTGTGGCCAACCTATGGCTATGGATGCGTCGTTGATCTTTCATGCTGAAGAGCACTGCTTAGCCTTCACTTGCATCCCCTGCACTCTTTTTTTCCTAATCTATCTAGCCCACCCTCCCCCCGGCAGTTTCAGAGCCACTTTTCAACTCTGGTTAGACCTCCTGCCTGGGGGAGTCCCAGTTGTCCCATTGAGAGGTCCTAGCTGCCTGGGATTAGAAGGTTGAAAGGGGCGGGGCGGGGATAGTGCCCTTTCAGAGGGTAGGGACAGTCATCTTGTTCCCATGACAATACCAGTGACAGGCAACATCGGGAGCTGGGCCCTTGCCAGTGTCTTAGAGTAGGTCTTCTGCTCCATCCCTCTGTCCCTCTGCCTTCCACATTAAAGCATGCTTCTGCACAGATAATAATAAAAGCGCAAGAAGAGCTGCAAATCCTGGTGACTTGAGTTTTTGTGTACTTGGTGCTGTATCCTTTGAACAAGAGATAAATTCACATCTGTCTGGGCAGGAATCCAGAACTTTCTCACTGTCTTTAGCAGACCTTCCCCAATCTTCATCATCTCTCAAGACTTCCCCATCTAGAGAGGACAGTATATGTCAGTCCCTTGGTAGGAAATGAACTTCACCATCTATGTGTGTGTTCTTATGAGAGACAGAAGCAGAGAGAAAGACAGAGGTAGAGAGACAAGAGACACAGACATAGACACAGAATGTGTGTGTGTGTGTGTGTGTGTGTGTGTGTGAAGATGACTGCAGAAAGAGGCAGGAACCATGAGCCCTCAGTGTGCCCCTGTACAAGGTGGAGGTTCCACCACTTGTCTCACACTCTGAAAGGAGGACAAAGACCTCATGCTAGCCCTGTGGGACTCCACAAACATGATTCCTAGAGTCTGGGCCTGCTGCAGGCAAAGCCAAGGACACTTGGTGAAGAAACATTGGGAGATCTCAGGCAGTCCCCTCTGTGGAAATGGGAGAGGACAACCACACAGATACAAGTGGTTCTAGTCAGGAGAGCCAAGAGGATCTGGGAGAAATGGAAGTCTCTTTGCTCCCTCCAAATGGTGGAATACCCTGAAGGCTGGGAGAAGGTTGCAGCTCCTCCTTGAGATTGACCCTCCCCTCCCAAGAGTCTCAGGGCTGGGAGGCAGGGAGATGGTTGGCACACCCATTCAGAGAGGGGCAGCAAGTGACCCCCGACAACGACCCTGGAATAAAAGTCAAGCAGATCTGAACAACTCAGAGCTAAGCATATGTCCCTTCCCCCAAACTGCTCCTTTCATCTGCTCCAGCCCACACCCAGGGAAGCTGGAGGAAAAGCAAGTGGGGGGGGGGAGGGGGCGGGGCCAGGCCAGGGCTCTGGGAATTGGGTGTGTGTGTGTGTGTGTGTGTGTGCAGACACTGACATGTTTGCAGAAAAAGTCTGGTTGAAAATATGTTGTGAAACAAAGGTGCACTCTTGGGAGCAATTTAGCTGAGTTACAAACAAACAGCATGTAGGTACCCTAGAGGAACACCTGAGTGAGGTGAGTGATGATGAACTCTATACCTCCACCCACCCTGCTGCTGATTATTGGGGGGTTCCACTCTCAGAACTGCCTGCTGCTCCCAGAAGTAACTCTAGAGACCTCTGTTCTAAATGACAACCTAGGAAGCGGGCATGAAAACCCTCTGCAAGGACCCTTGAGGAGGATGTGGAAGAAACAGTGGGGCTGACACCTCTAATTTCCACTCCCTGGGAAGGTCCAAGGCAGCTCAAGGGGCACTCCTGCCTGGCACTCTAGCTGGAATCCAGATGTGATATTTGCCCCATGGTGTTTCCATGCTGAGCGACCCTCATATTCCCCAAGAGCTCCAGCATGAGCTCCACACTTCTTCCAACAACCCCTGAACAGGTCCAGGTCCCCATGGACCACAGATGGGAGAGAGGAGATATTAATTTACACTTGGGGGTTGGGTGACGGAGATGCAATCTTGTGCAGCAGGTTGGTTGTTGCTCCTCTGTGAGGCCACTATGGGCTGTTCAGACTTGGGGTTTGAGAAATATATGGCCACAGCACAAGTCAAGTGCTGGTGGCATGACCTCTGACCTGTGACCAGACCCTCAGAGAACACTCTTAGCCTGAAGACCTCAGAAGACTCTCTGGGTAGTGCACAAAATTAAGCACTCAATTACAAGTCAGAAGGCTGGTAGTTCGAACCCACCCAGAGGACCACGGAAAACAGGTATGATGATCTGCTACAAAGGTCTGCATTGAAAACCCTATGTTGTTGTTGTTAAGTGCTGTCGTGTCAATTCCACCCTGTATAGGGTTTCCAAGAAGCAGCTGGTGGGTGTGAACCATCAACCTTGTGGTTAACAGTCCAGTGCTGATTCTATAGCAGGACTCTGAAAACCTTATGGGCCAATTTTATTCTGCACAGATGGGGCTGCCATGAGTCAGAGTCAATTCAATGACAGCTGGTTTGGTTTTGTTGGGTTGCCTTATGGAAGGATGACCAGAATTGCCTTTCCAGTCAATTTTGCCTGTCAGTCAATTTTGATAACTATTCTGTAGAGTGCACCTATTATGTGCCTTGTTGCATTGCATTGTTCAAATCATGAATGGCACACATCAGGCAGGATTGCATTCTTCGGAAAAAAGGCAAACATTTCAGGTGTAGTTCACAAAGGTCCTTGACCCTTTTTCAGTACCTTTCCCCATGGCAGTGCCCATGGTAGGCTCAGTGTGTATCCTTGCAGAGTTTCTCAAAGTAGTTATAGGCAGTTCTGTGTACATGTGTGTCCAGGATCTCACCTGAAGCAATCCCAAAGACCCCCAAGGGAGGTATCATATTACAAGCCACTGTGCAGGGAGAAATGGAAGCCCGAAAGTCTCTGAACTCACCTTGTGTCCTGAGCTGGCCCTCAGCCCCGGAAGAAAGGTGAAATTCAATATCCCTGCTCTTTGGTCTCCAGTTGAGGGAAGATGAACAGAGGAAGTGAGCATGTGTAGAGAGAAGGGGAGGAGGCTTTGTTGCACCTGGGAGAAGCCTGGCTCTTGAAAAGAATCCAAAGTCACACCTGTCCAACCCCCTGGCCTCTTCTTCCTCAGGCCCTGGAGACTGTAGAGGGCAAGGCATGGCTTCTGAACAGCCTGCCCCACTTCAGGTAGCTTTTGTCTTTCCCAACTTCTCCATGGTCACATGAGTTAGCCTGATGGCGACCATGGCCAAGAGGCAGGTGCCTGGGGGTGGTGAGCTGGCGGCTCTAAGTCCCCAGACAACAAGCCCTTTGAGATGAGCCCTCCTTGCAAGGCACAACTCCCCAAGGAGCTTGGGAGGGGCTGATGCCTGGGTCTGGAAAGCAGTTTCCATAGCCCATCAGCCCAGCATCCAACCCTCACCTGCCTGCGACAATCTGGGGTGTGTGGGGCCACAGTGAGGAGATCAGACACAGAGTTGACAGGTTTGTGGGTGAGCAGGTTCAAGCTGAGCAGGGCATGCACTTCTCTGGGACCCTGTTGACCTCACCAGCTGGCTAAGGGTGGGATGGGAAGCTCTCAGACTGGACAGACCCCAGCCGCTGCACTGCTGATGAGCCCCAAGAACTAGTCTCTGATTGGAACTGCACCCACAGACCCACGGATGCTGACAGTGGCCAGGGGACAAACTGCCTTTGAAGACTTCTGATTGGTGAGGAAAAGAACTGACACTTTTCTGTGGCCACGGGCCACCTGGATTTAGCATGTGCCCTTGTGTACATGGTCTGCCCAGGGAGTTGCGGGGAATCTTTAGAGTCCTGAGTACCACATTTGACTGGCCTGGAGGCAGCTGCGTCTTTGTCTTCTAGGAGGGTGGCAGGGTGGGTGGCAAGAGGGACAGAGGGGTTGATTGGTCAGCCAGGTTTCAGTGAAGGGAGGGAAGGGACAATGGGCCTCATGGTGGGGCTTCATGGGTGTCTGCTGATGGGGAACAGTGAAGGTAGGGGAGGGGACGCGTGGGGCTTCTTTCAGATAGGCACTGGGATTGCAGTCTCTGCTTTGGTCCTAACCTCCTTAGGGACCCTCTGCCATCTGTTTGTGCAGTGAAACCTTGGTTCTGGCTGAGTGAGACTCCAGGTTGGGTAACTCTGTAGGGGGTAGGGGCAGCACCCCATTTTGGCCCTCTTTCTCATCTTGAGCCCTAGATAAGCCAGCATCAACCGAATCCAGGTTCAGCTGTAGTAGTAGAGTCATCTACTATGGGTGTAGGAAGGGCTTTAGAACCTCCTCCTGGTGCTTGGGAGTCCTGGTGTGGCGCTGTGGGTTAATGTGCCAGACTGCAAAGCCAGTTGAGCTGCAAGATTGGTGGTTCAAGTTCACCAGCTGCTCCTTGGAAATCCTATACAGGGTCGCTATGGATCGGAATTGACTCGATGGCACTTAACAGCCGGTGCTTGAGCCCTGAGGGTTGAGAACACAGGGCAAAGCTCCCTTGCCAAACAGCCATCCTTGCCTAGATGGAGAAGTCATACTGAGTGCTTGGGTGGGGCACATTTGTTTTGACTTGAGACTAAACTGTAGTTGCCAAGGTGCCCTCAGAATCACTAAGGATAACCTTGGCCACACCCCCTTCATACACCAAGATGGGATGGGAGAGGAGGCTGGCAAGACAGGTGTATGAGATGGCAAAGGCTTCTGAATTAAATATGTAGATGACCCTTCCCTCCAAACAACAACTAACTACTTGACACTTTTCCTAGCTCCAAGGGTCCCAGAGTGAGACAGAAACACATTGCCTAACTCACGAGGGTATGTATCTAGTTGGGGACAGACAATAAGCAATTTCATTACCAGGAGATGATGACTCTATAGTACACAGGGGACATGAGCATGAAAGAAGATATGGATTTGGAAAAGTGCAGAGCAAGTTCAGGGAATTCACCTGACAAATGCTTCTGAATGTACTTGCTCCTAGGTTGGAAGGTTCAGGTAAAAAGGGGTGGCAGTCAAAATAGAGGGAAAAGGGAAGCTGGTAAGAGGTTTTCAGCAATAGAACAAGTAGGATTTGGGGATGGTC